CAGGAAATTCTTCCCTTTCCACCAAATCTGCCATCTACTAAATTAACGACAGTGACAAATTTCAAACTTACGACCAGGCATTTTTGAATTTTCTTCACTTCGAGTTTCTCAGAAGACTTTGAAGGAACTATGATTAACTTCAAGTGGCTGACGTATCATAAATTATTGAGAAGATCAAGTAAAAGTGATTTTCTTTTTCTTCTTATTGTTTTATCGTCATTTCACTGAAAATAAATTCTATTTATTGTAATGTTCAACAATTCCTTGACTTGAATTGGCTTGAAAGGATTGTGATTTCCACGATTTTCTTACGAACGTGCAGCTAAATGTGTTCCAGTCCAGATGACATGAGTACCGTCTTTTTTTTTATCCGTTTGTCTGTAAGATGTAGGAAACATACGTTAGTTCGATTCGAATAATAATACCGAGAAAATTTCCTTTCATTCAGAAGAAATATGAATTCTTTTGGGATTTATTTAACACTTTATTGAACGCCCAACGAGAGTCGAGTGAGGCAATTTCCTGCAGGACCCAAATTCAAGCATCACAGATTGCAGTGTGACAGATTGACCACAGTGTGTGTGTGTGCTTATAATTAATCTACTTGCCTTTATACTACAATTGAGATTGTTTGAAATCGACTTCTTTTCTGGCTTTTAATGTTTAGAATTAATAACAATTGCAATAAGTAATCGTTTGTCATTGAACAAATTTGGGCAACAAAGAAATCTAAGATGCTGTGGTGTCGAACTCTCAACATTTGTGCTCGTCAGCTCAAGAGTGGTACATACATGTTTAGGTAAGGAACATTGAGATAATTATTTGTTTAGAATACTTTCCTAACCGTCTAGTCTGTTCGATTTGGCTCGTCAGTTTCATTCTGCTTTCCAATGTCTTTATATCGTATATGTATATCTGTGATTCTTTTTATTCTCAAAATGTTTGCTAGACAATGTAAAATTTTTATAAATTACGTGTAAAATCTTACATCCACATAAACATAGCCGTCACCCAGATCTGGGTGTTGAACGTATTAAACAATTAAACAATTCATTGTAAAATACTTTATCTTTGCTTTCACAAAAAAAAAAGATGTAAAAAAGGATAGTGATATATTACTTTACTTACAAAACTACAAATTTCTCTAATGTATAAACAGCTACAAAAATTGTTTCTATTCGCGTAAATAAGACCATTTCATGGAAAATAAGACTTCTAGGATGGAATGTTTTGTGCCTTCCAAGAATGAGAGACGTGGCATTCGAAGTATTAAATTATAGATCCTACATTGATAAATGCACAGACACAAGATAGAGGAACCAATCTGTGTCACAACTGGTTTTCAGAATCAAGTATTATATCGCATAATTATGCAAACCTATAACAGCTGTTTGTTTCTCGTGATCTAGTCGAGGAAATTCCTCAGTTTTTCATGGTCCTTTGAAAACCACATTTGCTTGTGCAGGTAACAGATTCTTCCTCGAGTTACTAAATAAAAAAGTAATCACCAGCTTTTGCTTTATTTATTTACCTCGAGTTTTCGAAATATGTGGTGTAGAAATTTCTCAAGAAATATTTTGAGAATTTGTCGCATTATAAACGATTGTTCATTTCCGAAAACTACGATCAATAGATCGTACACTGTCGATAGAACACCAAGGATACTTATTACAGGTGCGTACGTTTTTAGATAACGTAAACAATTTATCTAGTCGTTTGTTTGTGAATTTTTCAAATTTGTATTTTACACATCACTATATCGTGTAAAATCAATAATCATCCTGAATTAAAAAAAAAAAAAAAACAAAAAATCTGTTTTCGCTACGCATTCATTAGCAATGAAAATTTACTTGACATAAATTCTTTTCATATATTTTTGTAAGGTGGTCTTGGACAGCTAGGTACTGAATGTGCAAAGCTACTTCGTAAAAATTATGGAAACGAGAATGTGATATTATCTGACATAATCAAGCCAACGGAAGAAAGTTTATCCAGTGGACCGTTCATTTTTGCTGATATTCTTGATTTCAAAGGGCTCCAAAAAATCGTAGTGAATTACAGAATTGACTGGCTAATTCATTTTAGTGCTCTTCTTAGCGCTGTAGGCGAACAAAATGTTCCTCTAGCTGTGAGAGTCAATATAGAAGGTAATATAATTTTTTTAAATTTTACGATAAAGTATAATAAATAAATAAATAAATAAATATTTGAATGAAATGGAATGTCGTATCAAGTGAATACGTCATTGTGATAATAATTATGTTGTTAACGTAGTCGTGAAAGAAAGCAAGTTAGAGAAAGTGGCTTTCTTAGCTATCTTTCAAGAAAATCTTTGCGCAATGAGACAAATATGTTTTATCATTAGGAATGCACAACGTTATCGAATTGGCAAAACAATATAAATTAAGGATATTTATTCCATCGACGATCGGAGCATTTGGTCCAGATTCACCGCGGAATCCTACACCGAATGTAACTATTCAGCGTCCACGAACAATTTATGGTGTCAGCAAAGTTCACGCTGAATTATTAGGCGAATATTATCATCACAGATTTGGCCTTGATTTCCGATGTCTTCGATTTCCAGGAGTTATTAGCAGTGATCCGCCAGGTGGTGGTACCACAGGTGTATTTTTGATCATCTTTTAATGCCTCTTTTATTTTTTATTCTATCTTTGTATTTATTTATTATTTCTGATTTTGAAGTATAAATACTTTTATTATTTGCCTGCATCATGAACTGGAGCATCATCATTAGAATAACTGCATAATAAGACAATTCATTGGTTTTTAAGGACAATAGTATTAGTAAATTGTTGAGCGTCTCTTGGTCATGAACCGTGAGATCGCTTCTTGCGTTTCCCTTATCTCCTGAAGCGTAAATCTTAAAACAGTCAACTTACAATAATAAAACCACGATTCGTGGTTTTATGATATAAAAGTGATATATATTTTATATAACAAATAATTGTATAGGATCTTTTTTTTTTTAGACTATGCGGTTGCAGTTTTCCACGAAGGATTAGTGACTAAAAGATACGAGTGTTACTTGGAACCTTATACGAGATTACCAATGATGTATATAAAGGACTGTTTGTCAGCGCTTTTTCAATTTTTAAACGTTCCAAATGAAAAATTACAAAGGAGGGTGTACAATGTTACCGCCATGAGTTTCACACCCGAAGAGTTATTCAGTGAACTTAAAAAGCACGTTCCAGATTTAAAGATTTCATATAAACCGGATGCAAGACAATATATTGGTTGGTCTATAGTACTTCTTATATATCATATATTATGTGTAAAAAGACAATGTATTATTTAAATTTTAGCTGAGAATTGGCCACAAGTTTTTGATGATAGTGAGGCGCGTCGGGACTGGGGTTGGCAACATAAATACAATTTAGAGACACTGGTAGAATCAATGGTTCGCGATGTAAAGAAAAATATGTCAAACAAAAGATCATTAAAGGAGGTTAACAGTTATGTATAATATAATACCGTTCTGAAAATAACTAATATAAATTAGTCAAGATATAAAAAATATTATTTATTTTGCAATGAAAATATGGTAACATAATTTAGCAAATATATATTTTTTTATACTTCACATGTCTTCACTCATTAATTGAGCAATATCATCATCATTGAGATGAGTTTCTATTCTTTTTGGAGTTGCTCTAGCAGTTCTAACCGGAGTCATACTTATTCTTCCTGCTTTTGTTGATGACATAGAATCTCTATCTCTCTTAGGTGTCATGGTACTCCTTAAAGGTGTACCAATACCTTTATCAATATTTTTGGGAGTACCTATGCTGGGAGATGCAATTCCAGGACTAGTGAACCTTCCACTTTGTGAAAGTCTATCTTTATTTTCCAGTTCTATAGTAAACAAAAATAACTGTATTTGTTAAAACAATTTACATATGTAGCTTTTTAATATGAAACGTCATTATACCTGTTGCATTATTAGCTAATATAACACGACTTTCCGCAAAATATACATTTGGATGACTAATAAGTTTATCTGGCATACGTTTATGTATAAATTTAAAGTATGCTGTACAAGCACCAAGATAATTCTGTTCTCTGGCAAGATCTGCTATTTCATTAATAGCTGAAATATACAAAAACTGTAAATATCATTTTTAGAATTTGAAAGTAAAAAAAGAATACTCTTACTTGCTGCAGGTACACCATAATTAAATAATTTTTGTCTCAATGAATTCTGATCCATGTGTTTAAATGCACAACCATGATATTCTCCAATACTTGCAGAAGAAGACATAATTTTTGGACACCCAAGAGGAGTGTAATTCGTCTGTTTACCTTCTTTACCATAAGTATGTCTTATAGAATAGGCATATTCTTTATCAAACTTTGCTGAATCAATTTTCCTTGTGAATTCAGTTTTCCAGAAAGATAAAGCATCTGTCATTGTTACTCCTATGCCTTTTATAAATAAACCATACTGCATACGTCCACTGTTTTTAAGATGGTGATGAGTTTTAAGTGCTTCATGTAATATTCTCATGCATAAAGGATATGATGTTTTTGATAACTGAAAATTATGCAACATTGTACAAATGTAAGTTTATGAAAAATAATAAAAAAGTGATTACCTCATCTAATTTATCTACAGGTGTAGTATCAGTGGTCCAAACAACAGATATTCTGTCAGCAACATTATGTAAAGATTTAAGACACGAGGTTATTCTCTCATCGCCATACATACGTCCAACAGACATTCTTGCTTCCTATACATTGAAAAAAATATAAAATGAAGTACAATTTAAGCAGTACTTAATTAATTAGTACAATAAAAAAAATCTTACTGGCATGCCATTATATAAATTTTTTTTAAAGTACGAAACAAATAAAGATACTAAGTCTGCTTGTGGTATAAATGCTATTCCTTGGTTCAAATAAACTTTACGTGATCTAATTAAGTCAGTGACTTTATGAAATGGCACTTTATAAAATTCTGTCACATCAATATTCTTGACTCTTGCGGATGATGTAGATAAATGAAGTTCTTCCCTAAATTTATCTTTTTCTTCTGGTGTAATCTTAGAATAATAACATAAAAAAAAAGAAACAATCATAATTTTAATTAATAATGAATTTATGTTTTGTTTTAATTTACTTCATACTTGCTGACAATCAATTTTATGCATATTAAGCAATTTTTCTACTCCTTCTTTATCTAATGAACTAAACCTTAGTTTGAAAAACTCTACTTCTTGACTGATGAACCATGACAGGTTGTCTGATTCAAAGCAATATGACAATCTCAATATAAAATGTGAAATATGATCTTTTCTTCTGTATTCTAGATCTGTTTCTGTTGGTGAGTTGCAACTCTTTGCATATAAAAGATGTGCATAATATTTAAGCCCATCTTTAGTTAAAGCTGCGCTTAGATTTTGTTTACGTTCCTCTATTGTTTTAAGATCGGTTCTCACTGCACTATTTTCAACATGTTGTAAAACTATAAAAAATGATATATAGTTAATGATAATTTAAATCAAATGATAAATTAGTCATGAAGTTTCACAGTACTTACGTCTTAATCTTTCTTTAGCCAGTTGTTCAAATTCTGTAAGTAGTAGTTCTCCTCTTGGAGGAAAATCATACATTTGCAAATCATGTTGATAAATATCCTCAAGACCATTACTTTTCGGCTTAACTGTCAATCTTCTTCTTTTAGTATATTCCATTTTTTTAAAAATAAATAGACTCAATCTTTCTGTTATACTACA